GAGAGAGAGAGACTGATGAAGATATAGAAGGATAAAAGGGAAAGGACACCCAAAGAGCAGCTGTATGTATGCGTGTCAGGAACGAATCACATCTTAGTGGATTAGGCAGATGAACGTGCTACTGATGGTGATGTTAAGTTACAGAAAATGATAGAGGAGAACTTGGTGAATATTTGTAAGCACTGAGGGACACTTTATACGTGAGTCCGTATTTCTCGTAAACCCATGTGCTCTATACTATGCCGGGAAAGACTTGGCAGGAATGAAACTAAATTTGCATAATTAAGAATTCCTTTAAATTATGATTGGTATGATGTTCGTCCTTTCTCTGTACTTCAGTGTCGGACTAAACACAATCAAAAGCTCTTTTTATCAATATCCAGGCCCTTATCTTATGTTAACTTTACTTTAATTTACTGCCCCTTTATATATTACATTGTACACTCAATCTATCAATTAATTAGAAAACACTCCTCATATCTGGAGGTTGGCGACCACAGTCCTCCATTCGAAATCCCGGGCTGTTTTTACCTATATAGGGGTAATTGCCGATTCGGAATATGTTCTGTATATTCATCTTTTTTGGAAACTTCGGATTGGCCTTAAACGATCATGTAGTCCATAAAAATGTATATATACGAATAGTGTCATAAAAACTAAGCTAAACTAACTTTACCATAACGTAACCTAGACTATCCGAACCTAATCTATTTAGGTGGAATTTACTACCTTTTGTATGCCTGCCTGTGTGTCTCTCTATTCCAGCCATAGCTCCAAAATGGAAGCAGTTAGAACCTTACACACACATAACATTGTATTAGCTCCTGTTTTATAGGCAGAAGTATTTATATAAATGGGTTAATTACATTAGACTTATATACTCTATCATCCCCTGTAACTTTCCACTAGCTATGAAGTAGTATGTTCAGAGCACGTGTTAAGGTGTGCCCACGGGAAGTCACGTTACTTAGTGGTGAGCTACAGGATTAAGTGACTGGCTCTCTGGCCACCTATTGCGGGCAGAAGTTTGATAACCCGGACTAGAGGAAGACGTTATTGAGAGCCATCATGGATGGTTCCGTCTTCCCTCGAGGGAGGACGTCGGATATTCCGTTCTTCCCTCGATGAGTCCCTACTCATTCTCACTCACCGCTCATCGACAGGACGTACTTAGCAGAACCATTTAACATAGCCTCTGTCCTCATTTAATACTGACAGCTACAGTGATTAAGTTACAGTGACAATCTTTTTTGAAAGTGTACATCGAAGCCTTTTATAATAAATACAAACATAGGAACATCTTGAAATTCACTACAGACGATCCAATAAACTTTGAACTATATTTTAGTATGCTAGAATACAAGGTAACGTGCTTCATAAGTGATTGTTACAAGTGGTGACAACCCAGGAAGGTTGTTACATATATGACAGTTTCACAAGTAACTGTTATATTCACGGTAACAGTCACCTCAACAGATACGCAGTAGGTAAAGGTAGAGATATTATGTTCTCCCATTTTTTTTTCACTGGAATAAGCCCACCCGGGCACAGGCCGAACGACCCACAATGGGGCCTAAGCGACGAAAAAAATAAGAACAGAAAGAAATCAAAAATAGAGAAGAAAAGGGTTATATTGTGTTAGTCTACACCACGATGATGCCGGAAAACCAGCTTTTTAAAGTGAGACAGAGTGTATAAGTATGGAAACACAGAAGATGGCAGAGCATTCCACAGTTTGGCTGTGTGTGGAAAGAAGGATGTACTATACCGCGTTATTCTAGTGTTACCTAGGTCTACAGAGAAACAGTGGGCACCGCGGGCAAGATGTGTGTTATGAACCCTCGGCCTTGCCAGCGGTACACAGGATGCCAAATCCACCGAACATTGCCCGTTAAAGTACCTGTAAAAGAGAGAGAGTGAAGCAACATTGCGGCGAAGAGATACACTATTATTAAGAAGCAATTCGTTATAACATGGTTCCCAAGGTTTTACACCTTGGTATTCTTAGCTTGCAGATGACGTCACTAGTACCCAGCATGAATCGCAATCTTTTCCAGTCTGCCATCTTGGAAGTAGTCAAAGCGAGGCGACATAGTTAAAAAGTGAGGTAGATTTGGCTGATAAATATTGAATTATGTAAGATGGCAAAGGCAAGTGTTGCATTTGGCTCTCACAATAATTATAATACTAAATGAATTTGTTTTTGATAGTATAGCCAGTATCACCGGTATCATTAAGTGACAAGAAGAAAAAACGGGACATTGTCTACCAGAGACCCTTACTCAAGTTTTGCAAGAGGGGCATTTAAAAAATATTAAATCCTTATTCTATAGGAGCCAAGGTGTCCAGTGATCTATTTCAATTTAGTAAAACATTACATAACTTTCTTTTGCTAAACATTAATTTCTTACTCTTTTGAAGGTACTAAAAATGTGTTATCAACTGCGTTAGTAAGTGAATCCACACAGAATAAACCTTTCATTCTGCAGATATAAGCATTAAGGTTTACCGAGCTGTGTTTATAGCTTTGGATGACGCAGTGACCAGGTGACAATAAACAGACAAACAAACAGCTGATAAACCTACCTGAGAATATCTCACTCTGTCAGACATCAACAATCTGTAGCTTCCAAATTTCAAATGCCTCACCTCATTCGCCTATCCACTGAAGAAATAATTGTCAGAATCCTGAGACTTGTAAGCTTTAACTCATCAAGTGTGTCTGAACTTCAGGCGTTTATGAGGTAGGTGACTGTCGAGTTAAGTAATCTGCAGCCATTGTTTTACTTCGGTCGATCACTCCGCCTCGGCAGGTGAAGTTTCTCACTGCATTGTGTCCTACAAATGGCGTCTAAAGAATCTGCCTGTTTCTGTTTACCAGGTTTACTATTTCTCCCTCAGGGTCTCCCCCAATTGCAGGGTAAATCATTGATATTGTGAAATAATAACTTACAAACAATAGCTCTTATACTTCAAAGATGGTGGACCGCGCATGACATGCTGGGTAAACGTGACGTAACTGCTAACTATGAACTCTATTGGCCACGGACCCCAAGGTGTTTGTTTGTGAGTGTCCGTAACTGTCTGTTCCAGCCATAGCTCCAAAACGGAAGCAGTTAGAGACATGAAACTTTACACACATATTACAAGGGTCCCAAGGTTGTGCACCTTGGTATTACTATTGACCACGGACCAAGGGTGGTCCGCACAAGAACCAACATTATTACCCAATTGAGAAATTATCACGGCGATTTCCGAAGGTGGTTAGTTTAGGTTATGTTAGGTTAAGTTACCCATGTTAAGAAGAGCAAACTGCGACAGTCAGTGATATAGTTTACACCTAACCCTTTCGAGGGCTTGCAATTTTCCTAGTATACTACAAATAAAAAGATAAATGAAACACTCAGAGACTTTATTAAAGTTGAGGGTGACCTGTGTAAGCATGAGAACGTTGAGGCCACGGAACACGTCACATTGGGAATCGGTCGCTCATCATGTATAATGGGGTCCAGATTGTGTTTCTTAGGAAGGTGATTGCGACAGGATACACGTGGCTGAGCTGGTCTTGGTCTCGGGTCACAGTAGTGCACTTGATATTACAAGATCGCTATTGGAGGCGTAGTTGTTGCACCGTTTCCAGCAAAATGTTATATTGGATATCATTCGAATATCCTCATCGCTGACACCACGTGTGTCGGATGTGTGTTTAATATCCACACCAGACACCAGAATATAACTGTTACCACCTGTGTGACCTCAATATCACACCATGTGTTACCAATATATCGCTCCTACTAGTTACCACCAATATATAGCCAGTGTGACCAGGTCACACCACTAGTTATCAGTACCATGACTTGCAAATTATTAAAATATTACAACTTTATTTTTAATATCAACACAAGGTAATTGTAAGTAATGATTTGAGCAATAGAGTTAAATCTATAGTTTACTTTTCCTGAATTAAAAAGAGTTATGAAATTAAAAGAGTCCTTGCTTGTAAAGATGGGATTAAATGAATGCTCAGATTAAATATACATAAACATAATTATTCAAAAGAATCAATAACAAATACACTCGTAAAAAATTCATACTAAACATATATACACTCAAAAATTATTTAATACTCATTATAGGATAAATCTAGTGATAACTTCTCACTAAGCAATCACTCGTTCATATAAATCATAAAGGGTTTCATGATAATTTTACCACTGTAGCTATTTCCAGTTACCTAAGCTTGGTTGATGAAAGGTAACTTAGTAAGCACATTTAAAAAGTTTATGGGTAAAGTTTGTAAACCAAATGGTCTTTTTTCCATTAATTTTGAAGAATAAACTAGTTACAGTCAACAAGGATATTACCGTAATTAACACTATAAGCTATCAGTGTTAGTGAAGGACGGAGCTTTTCAATAATTAGCTTTTACGTTCATCTATCGTGAGGGTTGAGTGGTAACTGCTGGGAGAGCCGGCTCTAAGGAAGCTGACCTAGCATCTTTAGAGATGCTACTATGCCAGTGGAAAATTACTGATCACATGATCAATGTATGACGCTCACTTGCTCATGGAAAATTACCGTGGGTGATGGAGTTATATAAGACTGATGTATTTAATCTATATTTACATAAGTACTACTGTCTATTAGACGGGGGCTAATACATTGCTCGGTCACCACCTTCCGAGCTCCACAAGGAATTAACTAATCTCGCAGAAAACCCAATACATATACTTACCCATGTTACATGCATATGTGTGTAGACACTAAACTGGGGAAGCTGCAACTGTGGGTCTTGAGATGAAGTAGCTAAAGATTTATAGTCTGTGTTATCATGGTAGAAGTGTTCGAATGTTGATGTAGAGTTTCGAGTGTGCCCACAGCTCTCTTGAGATGGGCATCAATAGACTCCATCTGGCACGGAATATTTAGTAAACCATACAGCTCATACTTTATGGTCACGTCCCAAAAGTGTAGCTAAGGCACCTGATTTTATGACTTACATGGACGCATCCACGACATGGTGGTGCCACAAAGGAGTAGGAGTAGTATTACGATGATCCAAGCCATTCTAGAAAAGGTGGATTTGTTTTAGTATCATTTCGCAGAACATTGTTTTAAAAGGTAATCATTAGCGACACTTGGTAGACTTGATGTATTTACAGTTTGAACAGATGTGTCTGGGACTTCGTTAACATTCCTGGGGAGTAAATCTGGGTGGGCTCTCTTAAGTCTGTCCGCATGTACTACGTCTGAAGTTTGTGAATTTGGTTTAATTTTTTTTTTAATTTGCTGCCCGCTTCTTTGGAGATAATATGGAATGGTCCGGCAAATTTGGGGGAAAGTTTGGAGTTCCGTTCAGGTTTTCTCACCATAACAGCATCGCCAATTTCTAGTGTTGTAGGCTTAGCCTGTTTATGTTGCATATAAGTCATTTCAGCGTGTGACGCTGCTAAATGTTTCCGTACTTGGCCATGAGTATCTGTGAAAATGCTGATTTGCTTGGTAGCGAAATCGTCCACATTGTAGACTGGGCAAGGTTTGCCTATAAGTATGTCATAGGGTAGACGTTTGTCTTTGCCATAAACAATATAATAGGGTGATTTGCCCGTGGAGCTATTGATCGACCCGTTAATAGAGGCTGCCACTTCAGGTAACAAATCCTGGCATGCATTTTACATTTGACTCACTGTTGGACAAAGAATCTCTTGGGTTTTACGATTGGTTCTTTCAACGAGGCCATTTGCCTGTGGATGATAAGCTGTTATAAAGCTTTCTTGGATGCCATATTGTCGACAAATTTGTTGTAAAAGTTGATTCTTTAACTCTAATCTGTTGTTGGAGAAAAGAACCTTGGGAGTAGTAAAAGGACATAATTTATGAGGTGCATAACTAGGGCATGAGCCACAGATTCGGCTGAGTTATCCTTCAGTGGGACTAAAATCACAAATCTATAAAAATGATCCACACACACACTAGTAAGTACTAGGATCCTTGATGACTCTCTGAAGTTATAACAAGTCAATGGCGACTGTGTCAAATGGACGTTCTAAGCACACGATAAACACTTAGCAATGTCTCTTTTCATAATATTCCAAAATATATTTTTTCTGATTTCCGCAAGGCATTTGTCACGTTAGGGGTGACCTGCTTGAGGAACATCGTGGTGCAACGTTATTACCGTTGCACGAAGTATATCAGATATGACAATTTGTGGAACAATACCCTGAGCTGTCTGTTTGGAGCGATGGATTATGTCTTGTCGTAGTTCAAATTGACTGAACAGAAGAGGTAACTTTGGAAGATTGGCCTCCTCCCCAGACTCTAGATAAAAAATAACTGCAGACTACAATGGATGCAGTCGTTGTTCATCCCTTAATTGCGAGAGAGTGAACAAACATACAGGTGTCACTGGTGCTATGTTTCTGGACAAAGCATTGGCGACCACATTCGCTCGTCCCGGTAAATACTTGAACACGGGGTCGAATTCTTGAATGGTCAGACACCAGCATGCTAATCTGCCTGAAAGACTTTTGCCGTGGAACTGTCACTGCCACGTGATTCGTATGGATGGTTATTTGATAACGCAAAATTAAGTCTTTTAACTTCTTCAGTGCCCAAACAGCAGCTAACGTTTCTAGGTAATCTCTCGAGATTTCTTGTCAAGAGGAATTTACCAATATCCGCTAAGCAGATCAAGGTTGCTAAATACAGCATTATCCTTGCCTAGAGAGTGCAAGATACCACACAGGACAGGCAATGGATACCTATCCGAGATAATGTTTTCGTTGCTGTGCCTAAAATCAATAACTGGGGGCCAACCTCCATCCTTCGTAGGAACTTAAAGCAAATGACTATTGAAAGGAGACTTTGAATGTGTGATAACTTCCTGCTCTAACATATCTTGAACCATGTCCTACACGACAGCGCGCTGGCTATGTGGTAGTCGGTAAGCTGGTATGTAAATCGGGTTTGTGTCCGGTTTTAAGATATGTCATGCAAAGTGAAACTTGTCCGACGTAGCTGTTCTCCTGGTAAGGCAAAAATGTTTATATAGTCGGCAAGCAGCTCTAGGACCATAGTCTTGCCTTACGGGTGATCAATTACCTTAACATGTGGTGATATTTGTTCTATCCTCTCCTGTCTGGTTTGTGTAATTTATGTGTTACACACCCAATTGGGAATTGCGAAGGCTGTTGAGCTACATTATTATGATAAACCAGAAAATCACACAAATAATATCCTTCTTTCAATATTCTGAGAGCGCCTAAACTGTTGAGAACTAGGACATCTGTTGAACTACCAGGACGAATCGCACTCAATGTAGATTCGCATGATAGGCCTTTAACAGTGGCTCTGGTTATTTCCTCATTCTGAAAATGGAGAGTACCTGTTAAGATTGCAGGCACGATCGTCTAACTTTTGCTGCTATAATCATTCTGGGTAAATGAATCTGTGGGGTCTGGGACTGGCTTTGACTCAGAATCCATCTTCCTCGTAGTAGCAGGGAGGACAAAACATTCACCCTTGCGGAGAGCAATGGTACAGACGTGTGCATGGCACTGTTGGAAACCCCATGAACAGTGATAGTATGTTTTCTTGGCTGAAATCTATCATGTTATGTTTTTGAGTTGGAAGATCTATTAATCCGTAAGCTGGTAAATTAAATTTTGGGACTACATTAAAATTTGCAGGAAATGATGTAACACGTCTTAGAAATACGTAATGGTAATGTTGCAATTCCTGTAATGTCCAGCTAGGTACCGGAAACTCCTGAGTGATCGGTGTCAGTAGGTCGTATTGGAAATTCTTGGCGAGGGGATCTTCATTGTAGTTCTTGATAGGATGCTAATGAGATTACATTTGAGCACGCCCCCGTATCAATGTCAAGGGCAGTGTTTTTCATACTGGGGGCCATGGCAGGCTAGTGTAAGTAGTATAAGTTCGGAGAAAATGTGGAAACTCTGATTCAACTTTTTTTTATTACTTTGCCTTGTTAGGGGAGAAATCTTTTTTTTTCTTCTTTTTTTGTCATTGTGTGTAATCATAATACCCATACGGTACAGTTTTGATATTTACATAGTATGGGGCAGCAGCTAGTTTTTCATTTCCAACGGATTCGCTCAGATTGCACAATTCTAGTTCTTGTTCAGACGAATTCCTTGATCTCAGAAAGATTTTGCTGCCAGAGACCTCTATGAAGAAAAATCTCTGACTGTATTCTGGTGCTGAATGTATCAGTCATATCCAAAAGTTAGTGAAATCGCACTTCGAGTCCTCTTACCATTTTCTACCACTTATTTATGTGAATCTGGTTTCTCCACCCATCAAATTGAGAATAAAAACCGAAACCGGTTACATGTGGACCCAGACATAAGATGTGCTTTATCAGTGACTCAACCTCGAATCAGTCGACTGATTGAAAAGAAACAATAGACATCCATCCCATTGAACTGTAGCAAAATATGCATTCTGTTTCATGATTGAAAACATTAAAATAAAGAAAGAGAACCAAAACAGTTTATTTTCATCATTATTTGTGAGGGGCTTGGGAGAGAACTGAAGGGGGGCCACGAGGATGGTGAGTGTTCCTCATGGGGGGAATGAAGGGAAAAAGTTTGAAAAACGCTGGTCTAGGGCAAGCTTGACTGCCCCAACCCTCGCCGGAACAGATAACACTTCCGTTTTGTTTAGCGCCACTATTAATGAGGCCGCAACAGAAGAGCTGTTGTGCGGTGGTACTGGTGTACCTATCCTACGTATTTCTGGGAAAGGCGCTGATCTTCCCCTGCCTTCTTATGATAGCGACGTCGTGATGCCCGCTGTTGTGTTACCTGGGGTAACTCATATCCTATAGCCCGACAATGTTGGCGAACTTGACATGCTTCGGAATTATGGGAGGCAGACTGATGATACACACACCACGTATCAGCTGTCGGTTCTGTAGCAGACATGATCTCAGCAACTGCTATACAAGTCCTGGTGGGTCTTGTCGCAGTTTGAAGTCGTGTTTGGGTTTGGCACCACTTTGCTGGAGCTGGTAATAAAAGTCAACTGTATGACCTTTTTTGTTGCAGTGTGTACATACTAAAGGTTGCTTGACATTTATGCCAGAGTTCTTGGGAACTCTTTGTTGAACCGGGGCCACTGGTGTGACTGTCCCAGCTACGGGTGTATGCTGTGTCTTAATTGCTATATTACCTGTGAAATCAAGAATTATATCAGTGTGGGTATTGTCATCCATCGAAGGGTCACGGATCGTCAATAGAAAATAGCAAATTAAATTAATTTTGCAAAATTGTCTACTAACATTTTGTCATCAGAGTCCAACCAGGTCGAACCAAGAAAAGTAGCCTTGATGTTTTAAAAGACATCATCAGCTATGAAGACATTTTTCATGGTATCCTCTACTCGAATCATACGAGTGAGATGGTCAATCCATCTAAACATCCAATTCAGGTGACCAATTAAAGTCTTTCTAAACACATTATATGAAGGATCCACCGGACGTCTAATGTCTAAATGTTCATTAACTTAACTACCTTTCTTTACGTGACCGCGACAAAAGCATTGCGCTCTTCATATCCCGTTATTTGGATGTTCTTCACGGCATTTTCACATGATTGTAAAAATGCTAGAATTGTTAGATGACATGCCTGAACTAGCTGTAGCCATGGTTAGTGAGTTGTTAGACAACTTAGAACTAACTGGAGGATTAGTGGATGCGGGAGGTAAATGAGGATTCTCTGACACACTATGTTTCTCTGTAGGATGAGAGGGAACTGGCCTGTAATAAGGTGTTGTGTACGCACTACCAGAGCTAAGGGTTCTACATTTTAACTCGTGAAATGATTGATCAATATATTGTTCACTACTCTCAAGTAAAGTGTGTCACTTTGAATGCGTCTGTGATCCTTGCAAATCTACCTGTGGTTTAGCGTCCACACCAGCGCCAGTAGCTAGCACTACGTCAGACGGGACTGCGTTTTCTAATTGATCAGAGTCACTATGATAATGTTCTGCCAAGTCCGTAATGTTTGAACCCAAATATTTAATGAACTTATCCATAAATGCCAAACAATAAAATAAAATTGCACTAAATAATAACCTTGTCCATCCATTTGCAGTAAATGATTTAGATTATAATTTAAATAATTAAAGTATCAATAAGTGAGCAGGTGAAAAATATTGGAATATAATGTCAAAAAAAAATATAACCTCACCCCGCCAGGACTCGAACCCGCAAAATTATGTGTGTGACCAGGGAACGTTACCTCTAGGCCACTAGGACAATAAAAGCAGTCCTAGACTTTGTTATATTTCACACAAAGCCTGTTTATCGAGCTTATGGCGCCGTGAACCTCTTATAGGGGACTACCCGTACACGGGAACCTCGTGTTTCGAAGCTGGATTTGGTAAAACGTTACTCTGATCACTTATGAGGCACGGGTAGTCCCCTATTGGAGGTTCACGACGCCATAAGCTCGATAAACAGGCTTTGTGTAAAATATAACAAAGTCTAGGACTGCTTTTATTGTCCTAGTGGCCTAGAGGTAACGTTCCCCGGTCACACACATAAGATCGCGGGTTTGAGTCCTGGCGGGGTGAGGTTGTTGATTATATGTAGAAGTCCGAGCTCTTTATGGGCTAATATATATATATATATATATATATATATATATATATATATATATATATATATATATATATATATATATATATATATATATATATATATATATAAAGTTACCTTTAATTAAAAACTAACCTATTACGAAATCTGACATGTGAAGCTATGCTGTAGAATATGTTACATTGCGTGTATATATCTACTGTATGTCTGTGGCATACCTATTTAATGAAGAATTGATTGTCTAATCGAAGAATTCTAGAAATTGATAGAAAGTGTGGTCTTGAAAACCATAGATTTCATCAGAGTAGGGCAGCCAGCTGATTATGAAGGTCAAGGTCGCTCCTTGATGTGAAGATCCACGATGTCGTCGCTGAGGAATCCAAGATGGCGTTCTAGTTGCCAAGACTATTGAATCAGATTACCTCAGCAATGTTGAAAGTGCTACAGGCGAGCAAACTAGCATAGTCTGTAGGTTACTGGACGTTGTGAATATTGGGTGTCACACTATGGGTCACAGAGTACATCCACCGCCGGTGTTGTCCACAAGCGCTGATTCAGTCTCATCACCCTTGGAGCTAGAGACTGGGGGTGGCACCACCTAGGGGGTTGCCTGGGGCACTTGGGGGAAGGGGCTATTTCACGCTGGGTAGGGAAGAATTTGTTGACAGGTTGTTGAATGATGAAGCAGCCACAACAAGTGATTGGAGTCATATCCACTGGATGGGGCGCTGGATCCTTTAGACGAGTGTTACCACAATGAAGTGAATTATTTTATTATCTCACTTTTGTATGTTATAGATAAAATTAAATTATGATGTAAATCTGGGACGACAAATATATGTACCACTCAATACGTAACATCTCTCACCATGGGATATATCCATGTGCAACCAATGAGAATGTTAAAGTTTGACCAAAAATTTTTAGTTTTGGTATAAAAACACTGGTTCTTGTTATGAATTCGGTCTTCTAGCTGTCACCTTATGTAGCTACTTTCGGTTACCTGAGCTTGGCAGATGAGAGGTAACTTAGTAGGCACATTTAAAAGGGTTTATGGGTTTAGCGTGCAAACCCAAATGGTCTTTTCTCCAATTATTTAGAAGAATAAACTATTCACAGTCAACAAGGACATTGCCGTAATTAACACTATAAGCTGTGAGTGTTCGTGGAGGACAGAGCTTATCAATAATAAGCTTTTATGTCACACGTCCATCTACCGTGAGGGTTGAGTGGTAACTGGAGAGAGAGCCGGCTAAGGAAGCTGACCTATAGCTTCTTTAGCGACGCTACTTGCCAGTGGAAAATTACTGATCACATGGTCGGTGTATGACGCTCACATGCTAATGAAAAATTACCGAGAGTGATGGAGTTATATAGGACTGATGTATTTAACCCATATTTATAAGTCCTACTGTCTATTAGACAGGGGCCAATACACCACTTCTCAATTGAAATTATATCTCTATGGATTAACATACAAATTTCAAACTTAGCTGAAACATAAGTCCTTGTTCCAAGTGTTCTTCCATTAATATGTTAAAAAATACTAGGAACCTCTTGTATGTACTGTACATATACCCGGCTTCAACTTTAAACTGCTACCATATTAACAGCTCTAAGTTAAATCTAGTTACAAGTTACAATTGCTCCACACATATTAACTCCTGTACACAGAAACCCCTGAAAATTATGATTATTTTCTGTACCTATTCTAGATAATAATAATTCACTTAAATCACTGAAGATTCACTTTACTCAAAGCCATTAAGTAGCAAATTAATTCATCGAAATAACACTTAATCATTTAAAGTAATACTCTTATCTTTCACTGTTTCTTTAAAAAAAATAGAAAAAATGTATCTTTCATATATTCACGGTAAAGTATATAATGACTAATTGCTTACTGTATTAAATCAGTATCATCTTCAAATTAATCATCATACAATAAAATCCAGTGATGACTAAGAAACTTTTTTGTTTACCCCAAAATATCATAATAATTTCACTATGTTTCACTTATATAATTCACTTGTATCAAATATAAATAATTCTATATCATCTCTGATCAACAAAAAAAAAAAGAACAGTTATCATATCCTCTCGTGGGGTATTTTAACACTTATTTATAACTATCAGTGGTAGGCTCCCCCACTTCTAAGACACTGGTGTTCGTATCCTGCTACCATATCAAGCTCACCAATAATCATAATTTACACCGTTTCAGTTTACTTAAGTTAACTATTTCACTACATTATAATTTTTTACAGCCGAGTAATCTGTCCACTCTACTACTACACTCCAAATTTCCCTAAACGTTCCCTCTTAGTATCTAACAATTTATAAAGTAGTCTTAATTATCTATAGGCATTCAGTTTTATTATCATGATCTATAATCATTAAGCTATAATGCAATTAACATTTGAAAAGATAACGTTACATAGTATTATTTACTGGGAAAATTACATATGTATAACAATAACCTACGAAGTCTTAACTAGACATTCATTTATATTAATCCATTTACAGTGAGCCACAACATTACAGGTCTTGCTACTTAATTAAAATGTTTTTCAATCATCAAGATACTTCATACAATACGTTAGATAATTTAACAGACCATAGATAACATCACTATTCAAATAAATCTTGAAACATTTGCTACCAGCGGAGACTTTCCATGCATTTTCCTGTCAGAGGAATAACTAAACTATTTCTACTACACCATTTTACGTCACATAATAAAATATATTTTAGGACAATAAAAAGTATTATTTTTCATATAAATTTGGGTAAAATCAATTCATCATCAATACAGTGTAACAGTCGGTGCTGCCAGAGTCAAGCAAGCATGAGACGGTATAATATCGGATTTCACAAGAAGTAACCCTGCAGGCCATGTGGGCCTTACAAGCTCGGAGGACAGATCCAAGCTTGATCCCTGCAAGACGTCCATCCCTAGTACATATGGAGCTCCCCCCTTTCTACAATATAACAAGGGCGGAGGTTAATTAACTGCCTTAAGCCACAACTTTGCATCCAGCCGGCCATGTATTCCGTTCTCAGCTGCAGTTGACTCGGTCTTGATCCTATACCTGTCTCGATCTGCTCGCCCAGCAGACCTAACAAACTCCAGCGGAAAGAAGGAAACATTCGAACCAGAATCGATTATGAATATTTTTTTTGGGGGGGGGGGAGGGGAACCCCCCTACATCCTTGTGTAAGGTGAAGCGCAGAAGCGTCTACAGTGCCTAACAGGGAAGCATACTAAGTTCATGCTTGCCTTTATGTCTCATGAGTTAAGGGCGTAGAAGCCTGAAGAGTCAAGGGCGTAGAAGCCTGAAGAGTCAATGGTTTATGCCATCAAGTTATTGGAAGCTCCAACAACTTTCCTTGAATAAGAATTCGCAACTTTTGATCTACAACAGGTACCTACATCACTGCTCGGTGAACAGGGACCAATGAGGGCTTGGAAGTATGTCCAAACAACTTTTCCACCGGCCAGGGAATCGAACCCGTGACACCTCGCTTGCGAGGCAAGAGCGGTACCGTTCTACCACCGGCGCCCCATGAATGTGTTTCACTCTGTTCTTTTCGGGGTAGTGGAACTCTTGAACTCTCAAATCATTTGAGCCCCGGCTGTAGGGTACAGGCAACGAATAAGAAGTCGTTGCCATTTTGGACAACATGAGATTTTTTTAAGAACACTGAGGTGCTATAACTTCGAAAACGACTTTGGAAATATAGTTGAGTTGAAGTTTTCATGTGGGGAGATGATGGTTTAAAAGAGGTGGAAGGTGGTACTTGTGACGAGGGTAAAGTGACTATGCTTTGCTGCAGCTAGTCCTTCTTCGTCGCCTACCTCACCGTGGGAACTCTTAAGTTTACTCACGAAGAGGTTGTATGGTATGGCGAAGATCCAGAGGGTGGAGGAAGAACTG